GTACAACACTGGCGTGTGAGTGCGGAGCCCCCTGGGTTAGCGTTCGGGCTGTTGCATGCAGTAACCTAGCCGGCCCGGCCCGGGGCCGGGGACGCTCCCGAACGGGCTGGTCGCAGTAAGCAGTAACCAATGCCTGCGAGGTGACATCGCATCGCTAAATAATCTCAAATCTTTCATTTTTATATAATTATTATCAGTCATTATTTGGATTCATGCTCAATAAAGGATCGGTAAAATTCACATTAAAAATGCTCACTTACGACGTTGTTGCTGTTGGAGGTTTGCTGTGTGTTTTTCACTCTTCTTGTGGCTCTTGACGGCTGCTTCGCCCATATTACGGACACTGAATTTACACATACAAACAGCACATCTAGCAGTCCCCAGATCGGAACTTTCTTTCAAAATCCAGCCACGGTAATCCGGGTGTTCTAACCAAGCATCCTTAAAATGACAATTTCCAGGCATTTTGAATATCACTTCCACAAAATTTGTAATGGTGAAAATATCCACGTGACGAGTTCCAAGGTCTGTGAAAATAAACAACTCCGTTTCATGAAGAATCAACACATGCACAAAAGTTTCAAAACACATGCCGTCGCGTCGATATATAGATCGTCAACGAGCTAGCGCTGCCAATTTGCCTTGTTGACACGTCAGTATTGTTCCTTTTTTATTTAAATAATGAAAATTAAAAAACAAATATTACTAATTTACTTTTTCCTCATTTATTGGAGAAGTGTAAAAATTGTAGTAGTCTAAGTGGTCGCAATTTAATGCAAAGCCAAAGTGCAATCGAGGCATTACATTCGTTCTTGGAGTGTCACATGTCGCGTTGGCACCATCATCATATGCACACACACACTGCACACGTACACGTGCGCTAGCTTGCTGAACTGAGCTAGCGCTAGCGAGCTCGCTCGCAAGCTAGCCATGTGCGCACGATGTGGACCGTACCGCCATACACTGACCATACACACGTAGTTCGTATCGTACACGTACACACCCACGTACACAGCGCTTATCCATCGATCATAGTGAACACATTCACAAGTACAATCAGTCGGTATGTTACGAATGAAAGAAAATACGAGAAGAAAATGGTTGAAATATCTCCATTTATTCACTTGTATAGTGAGAAAATACTATAGTTGTCCATAATTTTGATATTCCATGACTTTCCATGACTTTCCAATGGAAAAAATAATTTTCCATGACTTTCAAGGCCTTAAAAGCAATAAAGTAAAATTCCATGACTTTCCAGGTTTTCCATGACCCGTACGAACCCTGTAATAACAACACGAATGCTTTGTTTTAATCATGAACTAATATAAGTTATTTGATTCCAACATTTATATTCCATAGTGTGGTCCAATCTAAATAATTAAAAACATGAAAAGTAAAAGAGGCGAATCAAACCTAAAAAACATTAATGTTTCCATTGGAACGTAAGCACTTGGAACATGAGCACTTGGACAATGAAAAAGAGAGAGAGAGAGAGAGAGTGTGTGTGAGAGAGAGAAAGAAGGAGCGCGCGGGGCGGGGGGCGGGGTCAGACGAATGTAGGCATGGTGGGGTGGGTGGGGGGAGAGCAGGGATTGAGAGAAATGAAAACATGCAGGAATATCCAAGACACAGAGCAATTTCATTACTAAGATCATTATCTTTCAGAAAGTAATATCTATACGACCAATGTTCCCCTGTTCAATCAAGGGAATAATAAACATCGCAATGGGACGCGTCTTTCCAAGCCTGGTTTTCCGATTACAGAAACTGGGGACTACATTGGATCTAAAAATGGAATCTCTGTAACAAGGAATTTCCCAAACAATCTGGAATGTGTCCAAGAAAGAACTACAAAATAAACGCAAATGTTGTCATGATCATTCTGTATTCACATACACACATGTTGAAGTCACTACCCGAGGGTGGTGGGTATCATGTAAAAGGATGTAAAAATGTAGGTTAATGCATCCACTCTGTTCAGCTAAGATCCAAAACCACACTAAAAATCCCAATCACTTATTTCATTTCATTCTAATGCAACTTAATGTCAAAATGACAAAACTTGAAGGTTGTAACTCTGAAACTTGTTATCCTTTGACTCTTATATCCATAACTAATAATTAGATAATTATATACTTTGGGGTATTCCGGATATAGGAGACCCGGGTGATTAGGTCAAACCCGGCGTAGGTTAATGACCATTTTGAGCATACTTGGTCAACATACAAATAAAGTTGTCGTATTACAAGTCTGTGAGCAGTAATCGTTTTCTATTCCGTCATGCGCCGTGGTCAGACCAAAGGGATACCAGCTATCTCTTTGGTCAGACTAGCGCCGACCTAGATAGTTCGGAAAATTGGCGCAAACTTGCTTGATGCAAAGCGGAAACCGAGCTTGAATTTCTCGCATATCTACTTCAAATGTTATAGTCTGTATCCTCACTACATGCGTGCACTGCGACATGTTTGTAGAGATGTGCAATAAACACACGTAAAAAGTAAATGAAATACAGAATATTGTATCATGAGAGTGTAGTTCATGATTCTAACGATTGTTATATACAGCATTTAGGATAGATCAAACAGATACATAAAATGAACATTTTATGAAGAATCCATTGTATTTCAAATGACCAGTTTTATATCTGGAGGGGGGGGGGGGGGGGGTAAAAAATAGATTTTTCTCTTCAACGATACCTTATGCTGGTCACCTGACCATATATATTAAGCAGTGACGGATGTGGTGTGGATGCAGTCCTCTCAGGGGGCTATACGTAGCATTTATATATAGATAGGCTTCACACCTTCCACCTTAATCTGTCAAGAAAGATGTCCTTAAAAAACCGCAGAAAAATATATGACCTTTACAAGCCCGCCTTAGTTCCAATCATCGGGAAACTGATATTCGGCAAAGAGGAGGCCTGTTTTATTTTTCATTCTTTTATCTTAGAAGTTGCTGTTTTCGTCACTTTTGTGTCCAATATATTTTCATGTTTTGGTCTATTTTAATTTTTGATTTGGATACAAAAAAGATGTTAATTTTACAGTGTGCTTCCGGAGGCTTTGGAAAGAACTCTGAAATAAGAAAAGTTATCTTGAATTGTATTTGGCAATTCTCAACCTGGTTTAACTATTGATGCACGGAAGCGGTCAAGAATTACTGACAGCAAAAGTTAGTCTCATTTTCAGGGTACGTTTCTCTCTGATAATCTTTCTGATTTTAGTTTGAATATCATAAGTCCTCCCCTCTCATAAACAATATGCGATTAGTGTGTTTAAATCCGTGTACCGACACTAAACCCTTTCCTAAAGTTCTTTCAAAAGACACAAACCGGGGGATAAACAGGTTATCGACCTCCTTATCTGGCACATCAGCAGTTAACACTCGTACTTAAATATCACCCCAAAACGTTTGATTGCTGTTGTTTGAGTTGGCAGAACTATGTAAGGATAGCTCATCAGATCATACCAAAAATAGTAAGCCCCCGAACCCTTAAAGAAGCCGAAGGCGTAGCCCCATGAGCGTAAAATGGCGTGTTTCCGTTAACAGGAATATAGTCCCGATTTTTTGCGCAGTTGTGTATTGCTTTCAGTCTACGATCTAGAATGGTTGGAAATTGTATAGGCAAGTGTTCCTGTCACCATTATTGACAATAATGATGACGTTGATCAGGAGAGTAATAATGATAATAATAATAACAATACTAAAAATAATAATGATAATGATAATATTAGTGATAATTATAATAAAGCAAATAAATAATGATAATGATAATAAAAATAATGATAATAATAATAATGAAAATACTAATGATAATTTAATAATAACAAGAATAATACTAATAAAACTAATAAAGTATATGGATTTAAGCACCTTTGTAAGGCGTTTCTCTTATAACTGGAAAAAGTTCATTCTAGATTGGTGACTACATAACAATTTTTGTCATACTTGATCACTAGCCAGTTGTTTCCTTTTCCTGTTTAGAATTTTGAGTAAATAAACAAGATGTTGCTGCAAAGCAAAGTTAATATATCTTCATCTTTTAAGAATTCATTTAGCCATTAATAGTCATTGAGAAATATGATGATGTTTGCAAGTACAATGTACAGACGACCTGATCCACAATTTTATTTTCATGATTAAGATTCAGAATATCTAATATTGTTGTTATCTTCATCTGAAAATAATTGTGTCATTAGTTATATTACAAAAATGCTGTCCTTTTTCTTCTTTTGAAATCATAACAGAAGTGAAGATTTGAATTGAGATAGCATTTTCTTTATTTAAGAATATGTGACGTCAGAAACTGAACTAAATTGATCACCACAACCGTTACCTTGGAGAGCACTATAATAATAAATACTTTTAATTCACCGAAATATGACGTCTGAAGACCTCCTCGAAATAGAATGTGAAGCTTAGTTTAATAATGTGATAGGTGTAGCCGCCTGGTTTCGCCTATAAGTATACTTCCGGAGGGTGTTCCAGCTATTATTTACCTCCTCTTCAGGAAAGGTAAGTCTGAAAAGGGAAAGAGGGGGTACAGAGGAGGGGTAAAGAGAGGGAGGGGGTAAAGGGGAGGGGTACAGAGAAGGGGCACATGAGGGGATAGATAAATGAATAGTTAACCTAAGGACATTAAATACGAGCAAATTAATATGTTTTATGTATGATTTGGATACTGAAATGCCTGTAAAGCCTCGCTATTCAAAAATGATTTCTGTTTATATGATTAAGGTGATTCCATTAAACAACCATAACATGAAACAAAAGAGTCTAATAGTAATATTAATAAAGCAAGATAAACACCAATTAAAATATTGAAAAATAGGCTAAGCGTTGAGTTCATTAATGACTGAATTACCATACAATCTTGTTGTTATATGAATACAACGCTGTCTCAAATAATGCTAGAAATAAGGAGAAATATATCACATTGTTTACAAATAAGTAAGTGTCGAATTATCTAAACAATTAATTGGATACGTAATTTTTTATGTAATATCAAAACAAGGCGACTACTGAGAAAGCAACAGTAAATATCCGCACCCATTCGCATGCACTTAGAGGAGACAAATTATGGTTCATGAAGGAAGGAAAAACCCACTCGAGAAGTTGGACTAAGTTCAGCACCTTTCCGCTCAGACTCACGTGTAAGATGTATGACAAGATAACGTGCAACTCCTTAAGGTCATCTCTACAGACGATCAAGAAATTAATACACTTAAAGGTATTAGGTAGGCATGTCACTTATACAAATATTGCAAACATGACATTCATCACGTGCAATCATTATACCATACTGCGATCACATGTATAGAAAGACCAACTTTAAATTGAATGCGTAATCTTTTTGTGTATTTATACAACTGGGATAAGATTCTATGACGGAATCGAATTTATCGATTGATTTATGGGACGTAATCAATCAGATATTTGATGTCTAAATAAAATGTCATCAGAAGGAAAACAAGTCAGTCAGGTTTATGATAATTACAGGATCTTGAGGTTTATTTAGAGTTTTAAAGCAGTTTCCAAATTCTACAGTCTACGGTGAATTCGTAAACGAGAGTTTATTCTATCGCTGTGTTTAAGAAGTTAAATATTTCAAGCGTACAAAGTGGTATACAGCCTTTAAACACTAAGTAGAGGATATGAATACATGTCAGGAGGCTAGCACGTTACCAAAACATTCAGATGTTAGATTTGTTTTGTTTGTTTCGCGAAGGAACCAATTATGTTTTTGTTTCTGTATGAAGCAAAAACAACCCTTTATCAGTTTTGACGTCAGCTCTTGGAGTCGATTGTAATAATTAGTCCACAACTCTTGTCAGAATTACCGGTTTCTTTGCATTTGGCTTTAAAATCTGGAATATCATATCGATCATTCTGTAACCATGGAAACTGAATTAGTTTATAATGGAACAGAATATACAATACCTCAATGTTGTCCAAATTATTTAACTATTAAACTATCTCAGTCTTTGTGAAGTAAATTGAAACACATGTATGTCTAATGATATTAATCTAAGCAATGCAACAATAATTCATTATGAGACTCATATGCCTAAATTTCCTTCACTAATGCAACATATACACCAGGCTGCCTTGTTGTAATGTTGTATAATCTCCCATTAAACATTTAATTTCAATCACCTCAACACATACACTTAAAATTGCTCTTAATTCGCCTACTTGGATAACACAATTCACCTAAATTATACATCATCAGTACGTCGTTGAGAGAGATAAAATATACAGACCAATAGAAAAAAACTAATACAAAAAAAGTGTTTTGAAAAACATTACGAATGTAGTATTCCTGATAATCAGCAGAAAACAACAATATGCCTACTATATACAGTAGATCTCAAAATGTATGTAATGTCTCAATGCTGATTCCTTCATTTCAAACTCATTATAATTGAACGAAAAAAAAAAATCGTACAAGAGTCATTCTGCTAGATTTCAATTCGAGTTTACCGATGTCGATCCCTTTGCTGAGCAAAGTCTTTGATATATGATGACGTTCGCTTACGAGGGGCCAATATTGTTTGCTTGAAGTCGATGAGCACCGCTGAAGCAGCAGGGGAGAACCTGTAGGATATTAAGAGAATGGGGGAAAGTGGGTTAGCTTTTTTGAGTCATGAAGTTGCAATTTAAAAGAAGGGACAATAAGAGGGACTCCAGTCGAATCGTGTTGAAATATATAGAGTGGAAACTTATAATAATGAGAGTTCCATCAGGAAAGAGAGTAAGGGAAAGAAAGATGGGGGAGGGAGATATATATATATATATATATATATATATATATATATATATAGAGAGAGAGAGAGAGAGAGAGAGAGATGGAAAGAGAGAGAAAGAGAGAGAGGGGGTGTACTGGGTGTGGGGAGAGGGGAAGGAAGATAGGATAGGAGGTAGGCTGAACTGATTAATTATTTAAGAGGAGGACAGTAATAGGATGATAGAAAATAGGAAGTGTTAAAATCGAAGAATTTTTTCGAAGTAATTGTGAGCGAATCCATAACAGAGAAACTGAGGGCAGTTGATTCCTCGAAATCGTTTAAAAATGACCAATTATCCTCTGACAAAATACAAGATTCTTGAAGAATAGACCACGTCCTCACTCTTAACACATTACTGTCCATCAAATAGAATGGTTGAGAAACTATTATCGCAACAGGTAAAACGGTGATGCCATATTATCACCCGTGGTGCGACCGACATCTATAATTTCTAAGAAAATAATTGATTCAGGGCAGGCGATATACCGCTCCTTTCGGAACACGCTTGACGCATCAATTAACACGCGCGTTCGTTGGGAAGGAAAGGAAAGGACAAATTTAGGTGTCTCGGGAAAAAGCTGTTGATTGTGACAATTGTCTTGGAATTAGAAACAATTATGGAAATACAGGAACTTGTGGGAATGTGTTAATAGGTTGCCCAATTATGGACAAGTGATGGCTTGATAGATAAAGCATGTTCATAAATCGGAATAGGTGTGGATCCGAGATTTTCTTGAAGACTTTTAAAATACTAAATCGTGTGCTCAGATCATGGTTCGCACACAGTAAAAACGCTGCTTAAAAAAGTGATGTTCACTTACAGTTGTACACTATCTTAAACAACAGTTGAACAAATTGTAAACATTGTTGCTCGAAACGAAAGTAATTTTGTTAAACATTCGCTGTTTAAAATTTAATGACTGCTATATTTACTACACGAGAGCTTTTAGACAGCGTTGTTTACATATGACGTCATGTGTCACGTGCCAGTAAAGTGCGCGTTGGCTAAAAGCTTTGTTTCACATCATGGCCCACCAAGCTGTAGAGGTGTCGTGGATGAGTGGAAACGTCGCCGGACTGTCGATCACAAGGTCCACGGTTCGAGTCCCGCCGCGGCACTAATGTCATTTGGCAGCCTAGCATAGCCGGGTAATGTTGGAGCGCCTTGAGGACCTTGCAAGGTCGGTACGTGCGCTATATAAGAATCCAATAGTATTATTATTATTTAACAACAGCTCCTTTTTAAACAACTTTCTTTAAACAACCCAGTTGGTGTAAACAACCCCCACTGAACAACAGCTCCTTTTTAAACTCTTTAAACAACCCAGTTGGTGTAAACAAGCCCCACTGAACAACATCTCCGTTTTAAACAACTTTCTTTCAACAACCCAGTTGGTGCAAACAACCCCCACTGAACACCAGCTCCGTTTTAAACAACCGTCTTTAAACAACACCGGTTGTTTAAATTGTGATTTTAAACAAGTTGTTCAAAATGTTGATCAACTAAGTGTTTAAACTTTAAACAACTCGAGTTGCTTAACATTTTAAACAACTCTTAGATCAGGTCACCCGTTAATCCAAAGTTGTTTAAACTTTTAAACAACATGTTCACTAAAATTTTAACTGTGCACATATCTATCTTTCTATATAGATAAATATAGATTTGTTTGGGGGTTGCTTGTTTTTGATTTTAACTGATATTAACTTTTAGAGTACTACAAATGTTTAACCTGTTTACATTGCACTTTTGATATAAGTATGCTTGGCTTATGCCAATGTGTACTTTGCCACTTTGGGAAATTTGCCAAATACGATTTGAGAATATTCAGTCAAACTCACTCAGGATGGAGACTCAACTTTTTGTTCTTTTGTTTTGCGTTCGTACACAAAAGATGAGATTTTGTCTTTTGAGCAACACATAATAACCAATTTTAGCTCTCTATTCCTATTTTTCCTCTCCTCTCCATTCAATGTAACCTCCATGCAAAATGAGCATCATTATCTGATCATTTTCTGTCATCATACACTCACATTGACATCAAATATAATACACTCTGTCAACAAAGATATAATATTTAGCTTTGAGGCACTGACAATATCTGCTCGCCACCTGTTGAGCGATGTCGATGCATAGAATGATAACATATCAACATGTTGGCTGAGTTACTAGATAGGTTAAAGTTTCTCTTCATTTGCCAGGGAAGTTTGGACGTGTACAATCATATGGCATAAACATGTCACAGAGTGGTAAGATATGAGGGGGTGTGGCTGTTTTGTTTTTTAAAAAACCTTTCAAACTGTCGTATATGATCTTCAAATTAAATTTCAAACTGGAGTTATTATATTTTTTTTTTACAATCATTATCCAGTCAAACCAAGACCTTAATTAACACATCTGTCCTTTATGTTCAATAACATGGGTAAATTAACCCGTTGACTACTGAATTGCTCGTTTTTGTAGGCTTAATATAGAGACTTCTCAGTTCCAGTAGTCAATGGGATAAAAGACATAAACAGCGATAGACAATGGTTTTGAGCCATTACCACACAAGAAAATGAGGTTCAATTTTCAACCCTTAACCTTTAACAACACCTCAGGCAATTATTTATATAATGTTGTATGGTGCTTTAAACGCGTTGTTAAACTTCATCCTTTCAAATCTGTAAGATAATGGCGAGAGGGTTCAATACTGAAATCTCAAAGCCAAGGGAAGACGGGAATAAATATACATCATTTTCAGGTCAATACTGCACCTCTAAGATTCATTAATCGGAACTTTCACGGGTTCAGATGTTATCAAAAGTATAATTGTTCATGGATAACTTTAAAAATGCAGATAGGAAAATGAAACAAAACTTGAAACTTGAAGACCGTTAATCCTAACCATAGTATACATGGTGGGGGTATACTGCAGTTAATCCGATGAGTCTTGATATAACTACCCACCTCTTTATGAACATCTCTTGCGACTATAGTAGACCCTTGGGTAGCGTTCCAATGTCGTACAGCTGGTTCAGTGTTTGCGCCAACTCGGTGACCTTTCCGATAATCTGCTGCCTGTCCCTCTGTACCAGTCGCTGTCCACACCGCTGCAGGAACTTGTCCGGGTGCCATATGAGCTGTTGTGCCTTGATGAACCGCCGAAGCTCCTGTTTGTTGGTCACGTCCACGTCGCAGAGAAGCACCTTGATCATGTTCTCTACCTTGCCAGTGGAGCAGGGCCAGGGAATGTCGCGGAACCGTAGAAGATCGTTGGCCATCTCATGGAAGACCTTGTCGCAGAGTTTCATGTAGGAGTGCTTCTGCTTCAGAGTCTTCTGGCGTTCACGCTCGACGCGACGGACCTGTAGAGAAATAAACGTCATTCTAAATCTAATAATAATAATAATAGCTAGTTCTTATAAAGCGCTTTTTGAGAGGACCGAAGGCCCTCTCAAAGCGCTTCACAGACATATATATTATTACCACAGTCATAGGATTCAGGCTTACCCGTACACAATGTATGCACATTCTCCACTCCCTGGGGAGCATTCCAGCCAGGCGTTATTTTTACAAGCGCACACTTGCTAATCTGTACATTAGTTTTCGCATCCTAATGCGTTGGTTGTACAACACATTTCCCTTTTTGCAATTCTTACCTTCAAACCTGAATCCAAAAAGAAACCTAACCCTGTTCAAAATATCCTAATCTATCTCACTTTGCTCAAACTGATCAAAGATTAGAAGTTGAAAATGACACCAAATGAATTATTTTCTTACGATTCCCTTTATGCCACACATTACCCAAGGGATAGATGAATCGGCAGTTTACCAAACTGTTCTATACGTTTCCTTTCCCCTCAATCAAATATGTTTACATTTGTTCATTTCATACTATACATGTATAAATCATTGCCATTATTTGCTCCCTTTTTATGATTTAATGGGGAAAAAAAGAATAAATGGAACTTGAACTTGACCTATTTTGTCAAAACTTAAAATGGCCCTACCTTCTGACGTTGCATCTGGATCTCCTGTTTCCTCCATTGTGTCTCCTGCTTTGCCTCGGGGGTGGGAACGTACTCCCGCTGGAGCCGGATGTTGTGTTGGACCTTGGGTGCCTGGGGTTGGTACTTCTTCTCCTCCTCCTGGTGCTTGCGACGGAACTCTTGCGCTATCCGACTCGCCCAGGCGTCGAAAGAATCACAGTCGTGGCCAGCGTAATCTGCAGGGGACAACATGCAAAGAGGGAGATTAGATTGAATTAGATTGGATTTAGAAGATCTCTAGATATATTGTGGCCGAATCAATTTGCCACATGTTCATGCACTGTTGGATTCTCCCCCATATATTTTATATCAGTTTTAGCAGTTGTCCAAAGCAATGAATTATCCATCGACGATAACAAAATATAACACATTAATTGAATCATATTTTAATATATTGACGTTGGCCTCTCAATAAAAGATAAAACCAAGTACCATTGGTGGTCGCCAGAGCTTGGCCAACTTGGTTTCACTGGGTCACAACATGGCGTATATTCTTTTGTTTTGTGCTTGCTCAACAAAGCAGTGGTCGCCATATTGTGTTCAACTCGAGCCGGGTTGGCCAAACTCTGTGTATAGATGGCTCTGTTGGTCGCTAAGATGCAGCGCCCTCATGAAGCTATTACTGTACGGTTCAAAGGACACCTCCATTTGCGCAAATCATGGGATAATCACGTAAAAACAACACGAACACAAATATTTTATGATACTTCGAAAATATTCTAAGGAATAGTAAGTTACGAATGAGATTTAAACAATATAGGGCTTAACTGTCGGGACTGTTCAATTTCAAACCTCAAATTGCACATAATTTTAAAAGAGTAATAATACATCTGTTTAAGTGACGTTGAATGTAGGCATTGTTTACAATGTGGATCCTATAGAAGATATCGACACCTACGATAATTGCTTTACATCTCTATAATGATCCATCTTTGATGAAATTCGTGAGTTTTTTGTTATTGTTTTATTATTTTTTTCAATGATGGCTCTTTCGAGCATTTCTTACAATATAATAGTTACCAAATAATAAACAAAAATGACCACCAGATTGAGGTACGTTATTTGATCACCGGCGAGGATTACTCGCATTACCAAAATACCATCACAAAAATGGGTCAGACGGCTGGTGGAGATTATGAACACCAATATAATAATCTAATCATGACCTTAATCATGTTTTTTAAAACAGGGAACAGATGGAGACCATTTGCGTAAGGACGGTGATCAGTTACCATGCCAATGACGTCATGTATTTTAAGGGGGAAGTCCCGAAAAAATCACTCGTGATGTAAACATCCGCGTTTAATAACGACGATGGCCGCTAATTAAGGAGAAGAACCTTCTTATTCAGGCAGGATATTGGTTGTTACATCTAAATCGTTAAAGAAGATGTACTGATTGGGGATATCTTAAGTCTATTCATGTTTCAGGGCCCACGCCCCTACTCCCATCTGTAATCACTTCAAGCTGTGTGCAATCAGTACTGATTAGTTGCCCCCTTGCACGAGTATTTACAAGCAATATTCATATCTACTTTGCACCCACTATTAACACTTTGAATGTCCAATAACTTCATGCTATGTACCTTAGGACGTGGACGGAAGGACGACATAGAATAGAGGCAAACAGGTAAATAGATAATTAGAAATTAAATAGGGGTTTACCCCTCGATTGCGAAAATGTTTTCCCACTTCTTTCACAAGTAATTAAATAGTACATCCCATTTCCTCAAAGACAATGGCCACTTCTAACAGAACATAAGAATTTCAACCACCTGTACAAAAGTATGGGCGCGACCAGGGTCAAACTTTACAGAACAGAATGTAGAATGAGTGGATATTGGGCACTGGGTTCATAGATTTTTGGACGTGCTGAATAGATATGTTTTCAAATTACTTCTGAACCTTTCATATGTTTCTAAATTTCCTAGGTATTCCGGCAAGTTATTCGATAAATCAGTGGCTGCATATACAAATGACCTTTCCCTTTAAGATTTCGTTATGGGTGCAGATCAATGACACCATCTCCTTCAAGTCAAGGGCTTATGTAATCCCTTTTAAATGAACACTGTTTTAATCTCACTGCCATATTTTTCAAGTGGAATTAAAAAAAAAAAAAAGACTCCCTTTTGTCCTTCCCACTTTCAGTAGGCTTACTCAACACGATCCATGGACATAAATGAGTTCTTTGTCAGATCCATGCACCAGGATAGCCATAAGCCCCAAAGTACATGGAAACTCGATCCAATTAAAGGAAATTAACAATAGCCTGATTTCTTGTCTACTTCCGGTAATCTCGAAGATATCATTTTAGGATACAATGCCAATGATCATCAATATGCCCTGATAAAAGACCCGAAGTATAGAATTACATCGCAAAGATTGTATCATCAACACAATCATGACAACGTTTCTTGTATAAACTTCGGCGAAATGTCCAGGCCAGCTGCTATACAAAATGCGGAAATCAGCAATTACTCCACCTGCTCTGGCTGAATTGAAATAGAGCATCAATTAGAGTTCACATACTTCGATATACCATGGAACTACCATGTTGATACGTTCTCACCCTTTAAAATCTATTACGTGAACAAAAAATCGAATTAACGGTTTCGTTTATCATTATTATATGAACACGGTTTCACATTGTACTTTCATATACGGTCTCGTCCCACCGGTGTCACCAGCAACATGCTCACTGGTTTCACTTCTATAATTCGAAGGTGTAGCACATGACCATTAGCGAAGTTGAAAATAACCCCCCGTTTTGCTTACTTTTATCAATATTTACCTCAATATGACCTCTTTTTTTAGTGATAACAGGGGCAAATTAGGCTCTAAATTATAACCCCGACTGACTGACTTACCTAAATTAAACAACAACAACAAAAACAATAACCCGAGTCTCTTTTGCTTATCGAGTACAAATTCACACACAAAATTGGAAAACCCTGTACATAATTATACGCACGTAGAAGTCTGCGAGCATCGTGAACAAATTTCTTGCAATTAAAACCCCTCAAACATACACCGTTTTCAAAGCCAAAACCATATGCCGTACCATTTCTTTTCAAATTCGTGATATATCTGAAAATAGCTTCATAATGAAGGTGATGAACAAAGCTATTGAAATTGCCTTCTTCTTCTACAGTAACCTTCAAAGGGCCATGGAGGCAATTACGAAGATGAACCAATGATTGCAAGCGGAGTGAGGAAGACAAATGAGGTTAAATGGAGTAAGAGCAATAGATGCCTCAGGAGTAATATTATACGTTCACTTTTTTTGCAATCTAGGTATCATTATATATTTTTATTTATTTCGTTTAATTTTCTTGCTGTTTTGGGCATGAAATAAAACCATTATTGATAAACACAAGACATCAATACGCTAAAAGAAAATCAACGTTACCCTATAGTATATGCTGCAGTTATACGGCAATGTGTTTTCTGAGAAGGCACTAGAACTGAGTCTTTGCCCTTTAGATAAATGAAAACAAGGGCACCCCAATCTTATCAAACGATCAGTTCATGTCACATGACTCATGAATGTCACATGACTCATAAATGTCACATAACTCATACCCTGTCGTCGTCTTCTTGTACTTGGTCGAAGACCTTGCCAAAACCTACATTTTGCTTCGAGTTAGTATAAAATCCAAGGTAATCTATTGAACCGTATTAGCTGTTCCACAAAGGGATTTCCAATGACTTTTTGAAATAGTTGCCTAATCCTGCTCTTTCCCTTCTATTATTCTAATCAACAATCTCACTCTTTCTCTCTTTTTTTCTTTCTCTCTCTCTCTCGTTAAATATTATTTTTTGGAGATTATTGTTGTTTTTATTAAGACCTTTAAACTGTATCCTGCATACGACTTGACATTTGCAAATACCACGATCTTTACATTTCACATTATGGTACGTACATGAATTAACATGATTAATATAGGTTTCCAGCAATCGTCGAGTTAGGATGCACCGGAGTAACTTAATGAACCGCATTAGATGCTCCAAAAGGGGGATTTTCAATGACTTTTTGAAATATTTGTTTAATGAAGGTTGAGGTAGGGCAAACTGAATCATCAACCGAGGTAATAAATCTTGATTGAATCCAACAAAGATATCAAAGTTTAGTTATCATCACACGACATTGGGATGTGCAAGGAGCGGCTTCAGAACCTACTTTGATCAAGATGACTAGGTTAGGTGATGCAATAATGTGAAATAAAGATAATATATGATAAATAAGAGCCAGTTTGAGACTGTTAATCATTTGAGGATCTGGAGGGTGTTTACAAAGACTAAGATCGACTTTAAGTTGGACTTAACTATGGCAGGCTCTTCATGCCACTGGTTGCTCTCACTATTGGTCTCTCGATTATGATCTTTAGATATTTTCCCTCAAATAAAGAACTATCAACAAATAAAACAATCCTTTAGATTTGTGACCACGATTTATACGTCCCTTGAGAAACCAATGCCAGGAATGGTTAGAGGAACTATTGGCATGAACGGCGTACCATAGTTAAGTCCAACTTAAAGTCGATCTTAGTCTTTGTGAAACACCCCCAGGTCACTTATATCTTTCAGACATTCAGTCAATAACTGAAATACCGTGCCCACTTCAATATTTTCTAGAATTTCATGAATTTTATAATCTGATTTTCCAGTGATAGAAGTCTTTATTGATATTCAGTAGTCAGTGACGCATTTAATAGTGTATCCAGTAAATATATCTGGGCTTCCTATGAGGAGACCGTTCATTGTATTATGTAATCAAGTTAATTTATGTTGATTAATGTACTATTATCAGTCTCTTTTTTATGTTAACAATTATATCACGTTTTGTGTGGTCTTGAATAAAATGAACTTGAACTTGAGTCCTACGTAACACTGGTTAGCTAGCGCAAGGTTGCCTCCTATAATATTTTGGAACATTTAAAACGACATCTAAGACTATAAGTTAGAAATGTTTCATTGATTTCCTTGTAGAATGTAAACTATGCAATCAGAGGATGAGCTATGGGTGAATGCCGGCTTAATTTACTCTATGATCTCTATATGCACCAATGTAATATGTGCCTGTAGCTGTAGCATATATATTGCCGTGATCATTTAGCACCACGAGTGACACTTCATTACAGAGCAGTCTGTGGCTGGGGTTGCCAGGGCAGCGAGTGCTTGCAACGGAAATACAGTCGGAAGGTGTTCATTATCTTCAGAAAGTTCCTGACAGGACCCTTCTTAGATCCAAGATGTACGTTATCTTATGTCGGTCCAAAATAGTGTTTCCTTAGGTACAAGCAAACCCTTTGCATGTTACAATTATCTGTCTAAACGATTGAGAAATGTGATTCTAATGCCTATTTCATAATTATGAGATCATCTGCTGACGAATGTCTGCATCTTAATTTGCGCCATGTGAGAGAGACATGGTACACAAAGTGAATGCAAAATGGGCATCGCGAACAAAAGTACGAGCTCATGCACCCGTTGCCTTCAAGGGCTTATTAGACGGTACGTATAATAACGCAATAAAATAACGCCTCCATTAGACCAGTTTAGTAACATATTCAAATTTATGGATGTTTCTTTCCTGGGGACCTAGTGAAGAGGTATTCCATCAACCTGATATTAATAAATAACCTACAATACTTGGAATCCAGTCTGGATACAAATATTTGTTTACTACGTCGGTCAAGCCTCGGTAAAGTTTTCATGTTTTTGAGAATACCCTTTTTTTTTAACAAGTATGCATAGAATTTGAATATGTTAGTAAACCGGTCTATTGACATACGACGATACTGCATTAGAGCTACATGTAGCACACGAGGTGTCATATAGCACTTGTGCAAATGACCCCCAAATATCCACAGATCTTTTACACATGGAGACATCCCACTTTGCGCATAGTAGAATTATAATTGCCGAAGTAATGGATGTGCCGCTGGCGGATAGGCCTTTTAATTACAACAATTTCATGTACACGTATCGAGCAGTCGTCTCGATGCCTGGGTTTTACAGTTTTGTACAAATGACCTTTATCTTCCCATGCGCATAATATGCGCATTAAGGGTAACATCATCCCTAGTTAACGCATTGTACACGCTTTAAACTTACATGCTATGCTTATAATAGGATGCGAACGTTCATGTGGTTGAACGAGCAAGTGTGCGCCTGTAAAATGGCGACTGGCTGGAATGCTCCCCAGGGAGTGGAAAATGTGCACACATTGTGTGCGGGTAAGCCTGAATCCCATAACCGGGGTAATAATATATCTGTAAAGCGCTTAGGTACATCGTTGGATCGGTGTATTGAGCGCTATATAAAAAACCGGATTATTATTATTATTATTATTATAATGCGCGTCAAAAACCGCACCAATCGCTGACGCAGTTTGAAGTCAGTAATGACGCTTCATGTACAACGAACATTATGCCCATGGCATATAAACCCTCAGTTGCTGATATACGTCAGCGACCAACTCTACGCAGATCCGGTGTGAAATTGGCTTTGTAGCTACGCTAGGTCTTTAGCCAACGCTGTGATAATTCGTAAAGCCCCTTTCACACCGGATCTGCGTAGAGTGGCCTAGTGTGGCATACCGAGAACGCCAATATTAGGCTGCGTATTCATGAAAAAATTGCTTCGGCGTAGTCCCTGCGTAGGTTATGCGTAGGCTTGCGTACGATGGTGTATGGTTACGTACCCTGTGTATAGATACCGCGTACCTACGGCGTACACAATTGGCGTACCTACACGTATGATTGCATATAATAGGCGTAGGGTTGCGTACGTTTACGTAGGCCTGGCGTAAATGGACGTATGTTTGATTACGTTTGAGTATGGTTGCTTACTGTGTGCAGGTAGGATCTAGGACGCATTTATACGATTTTACTGCTACGGCGGAATTGCGTAAGGAAGCGTAGTGTTGCGTAGACTTGCGTAAAATGCGTACTCTCTGCGTACGCTTGGCGTAGTCAGTATGCAACACTACGGAATGTATGGCTCGGTGTGAAACCCGCTTAAGAGATATAGTTTAAAAAAGACGTGTCCAAGATTCTAGGCCCATTATGAAAAGAATTATGATAGAAGGTGAGAAGGGGATTCTATCTTATTGGAATATTGACAAGTTGTTTTATAATCCAGGAATGGTACGACAAGTGCTAAGATGTTGAATGACTGACGATCTCGAGATAGCTAAATGGCTGGGAAGATCATGAGCCAACTCCTGGCTTTTAAACTTGCCAAATAATTGTGAAAAACAGAGTCAAAGACAGGAGTTCATCATCATTAGCAGCACCAGCATTACCATATTCGTACAATGTGAATGAGAGGGGGGGGGGGGTGTTCAGCCCCCTCCCTCATACCATTATTCGTACAATTTGATCACCTCATATTTCCGCAGCAGTATAATATCTTGTTCAAACTGTGTTATTCTTTGTGCAATCAAATGTTCAATGACCTCCAGTAAAGTCCAGACAAGAAAGACCAAATGGAAGTTTTTTCCAGGATGAAGGCTTATATGAGGCCATTAAACAAAAATGAAATAAATCTCTAACTTTCTTTTCCTCTCTTTTGAAAATGCTATCATATTTAGAGAAATAATCCTTACCTTCCCAGCAATCATGTTCCCACATGACCTTTTCATCGAGATGTTCATCGACTGTCTTCCATTGTGGTTCTTTTTCGTGTTTACTCTCGTCATGTCTTCGGTTTAGACGGCCCTCCAAATCCTAAAGTACAACAAATATAAAATGAATACAAATTCAATTCAAAACAAGCTAATCAAATTTATAGATATAAAATCCACAGTCCCGTAATATCATTTAACAATCCCCTCCGACATCTCCCCCTAACCAATGGCCTTGTTGAATAAAACTTCATCTACCGAGCAAGACCGGTGTCCCCCCCCCCCCCCCCCCCCCACGGTACGCCACTGGTACAACTCATAGAAACGGGGAAATATGAACAATGCATAGAAAAGATAAAAGACATGAAGAGAGAGAGAGAGAGAGGGGTAATAGAAACCACTCATAATCAAGCAAACAGTCAAATTATATGCATTAAGGTACAACGAAAATGGGTTGAGCAGAGGTTCACCCCCTCCCTCCCTCCTCCTCTCAGTTGACTTTTTTATTTCTTACAGAGATTTTTTGTGCCAATGCTATAATTAAATTCGTATCATTTTTTGCTCATTTTGACAGATGTTAGCCTGGACTGTATAAAACCATGGCACTTGGTTTAGTAACCCTGTTATCTAGTGCCAATAAATTAAAACGATTCATCACGTGCCCTCTCATTACAACTTAAGTGATAAAATCAAAGAGACAATTAACAGTTCTGTATAGGATTACAATTTTGTGACGTCAAACCGATATCCGGTCAAGACTTTTCCATACGCCAGGGTATTATCATGGTATTATCATGGTATTATCGACGATTACAGACTGAAGCAATTCGAGGATCAGCCAACCCAATGATACATTTTCATTGTTTTTCGTTTTTGTTGGTAGATTCTAGGAGAAGGGGGAGGGGGGGGGGGGTTAAGAGGACTAAACGCCCTACTTTCCCAGATTGGTGTTTACTCTGCCATATATAATATACGTTCTAAGAAAAGCTTAACCCCTCCCCCTCCTCCTCCCCCTCCTCTCCCCGTGAAGCCCATTCCACCTGGCCGATTTTCTTTAGTCCCCTACCCCTAGAAAGTTTGCAATTTATCCTAAAATAATTCATCAAGATGCAGTACATTAAAGCTTTTAGTTTTCATCACGATTATGTTAATGTTATTATGTTATGAGATAATCCGAATTTAAGATATCTAAAAATAGACCTTTTACATTATTAAAAAAAAGGAATACTAGTGGCGCGATGGGGGACTCTAAAAGAAAATACAAGAGTATATTCTATGAATTAATAATATAAAACATTTCAATATCAAAGGTTTATTCAATAACTCTACAAGTTTATATTTTAGATGTGTTTATGTGATGAATAGCATTATGTTATGATAGTTTTGTTAATAGAACAAATTCGATCAACAAAATGCATTTCATTTCAAGCATACATATTCATGTTTCAAGATCATTTATATCAATCTTTTAACAATCGGCATAAACGTACGAACAATCTTTACACGTCTGGAAACCTTTATATGTACAGCATACTGCAGAGGAATGGATTGACCAAACATGTTGTTTGTCTGTATGAAAGACAAACATTTCATAACACGGATACAATTGTAGTTAGCAGCTTGCCAACTTGTTATCTTTCGACAGACGTCTTGTCCTGAAACAATGGACTGGTGATTAATTGAATTAAACATGGGAAGGGGCCTTTAATGCCCGGATTTATATCTTGACTGCCCGCCATACATCATGTATAAAGTCTTGTTGGAATAAATCTTTGCTGAGCGATGGGGAGGGCTGGAGGGATAATGGGTGGAAACGGGATGCTAGCCAGCCTTAGTACAGGGGGTCAAAAAGGGAGATTCAATTTCAATGGAACATAAATATTACGATTATCGTAAGATTACTATCTGTGTTTTTTTTTTATTGGAGACACAAACATTAAAAAACATAGAGATACCGGGCAGAGCTAAGACTTCACCCCCCCCCCCTGGAATATGAAAACTGCACATTTTCGGGCCCCCGTAACCGTAATATCATGGTAATGTAGCGGAGTGTTTTATTGTCATCATTATAATCATAGCTTACTTTGAAAATTTACATTTCATTTGATTCATCCATTGTCAGATTATCTAATATTTATGCTAGCCGAAAATCGCAAAATTATGTTTCATGAAGTCTCTATTCTTTGAATTTCCAAAAGATTATCCCATAAGCGTTTATCGATAATCGATAATATCGTAAAACTAAAAAAACTATGCATTTTGGAAAAAACTGTTATTCAAGAAAATGAAACATGTTTTATTTGATTAAGTAAGGATAGTACGATGTTATTTCAATTGATTGTATAATGATTGTTTGATTTGTTCAAAATCAAATATTTATCAATAAAATAAAAAAAAAAAAAAAAAAAAATCAATTTATTAGATTTGCTTCACCATGTCCATGTACGTTGTGGAGAGAGGCAGGCATTTTAAGTGATTTCTTTACCTCCTACAAGCCTTGAATACCCACGTCAACCGCTCAACGACACCCCCGTCCATGCTGTAAGCGATTATCTCAGATTTAATCTCGTACAAATATGGACCCCGTAATAACCCTGGATTATTAATCATGATCCTGAAACCTTGCAAATCCTTAACCACTCCCTATTCACAAGACGCGTACTTTTAAATAGAAAATGTATTTTGTCTTTTTTGTGTGTGTCAGGAGGACGTTAACTTCGAGTTGCAGTATGTGAGTGAAGGCTTTTCTTGCTCTTAGTTAGACGACTTCAAGGCTTAAGTATGTTTAGGAACAAATGGCTCAATGAGAACAAAGACAGCTTTCCTTTTAATTTTTAGTTTTTTATCTGATGGTTTGCATCTTATCTTCTCGTTTGCATTATTTTGATCCTTATTGCCTTAATATCATCAAACGAGATTAGAAAAGGAATCGTTGTAATATTATATTGCACTCATTATGTACTCAGCGGACTTATTATAGTAACTCAGTTTAACCAAGATGTATAACTCCTTGATTCAACTCGACACGTGGATTAAAGTCATGTTGAACAAAGGGGAAAACTCACCCCTGGGACTTACTACCCTGATTAAATTCGACGTCAAACCGAGCTTTAACCTACTAGCATCTGGCGGGTTAAAATCTTACTAGTATACGGACCCATATAACTATCATCATGTAGGAGTCAACGTAGAACAATAGTTCTAACTATGATTGTCATGCAGTATAATCTATCGATATTTATTCATATTGATTTTAAATGGTATTTATTCATATTGGTTTTAAATGGTATTTATTCATTTTGATTTGAAATGGTATTTATTCACTCGAGCCCATCTCGTTTTAACAAAGAAACATTGCATGAAAGCTCTCTTTTCTTTTCAATGATTTGGGTTTGTGCATATTGGGCTGCTATGTATCGGGGGAATTTGATCATGTGAAACAACAAAGCGTGATTTCCTCATGCCTGAAGGATTTTTTCTGTTGACTATTTAGATTTTGAAGATACCATACAACCCGTGACACAGGTGCTCTTTTTGTAATGTTTTATGTCGTCATGGAATTTTAAAACACGTGGTCCAGCACATGGAAATTATTATGAGATTTTTAAGAGGAAGACAGGGAATACGGAGGAAAATATGAGTGTAATGTGATACAAAAGTATCTATAACTCGCTTAGGAAATATTTATATCTCAACTTTTAAATGGCTCAAGGTTTGACCGACTACCGTTCAATCTTTCTTGGAAAAAAATTAAAGGGTTCATTTTTTACAAGAAACCATGCTGAATTTATTATGGAAACTGAAAACGGTATAACGTTGGATGAGCAACAAAAGAAAGGAACATGATCTTTTACTACTTTTGTATCAAAGTGGCGTTTTTTCCTAAGTGGCTTTATAAAAAGATGGCATTAAGAAGATGTCAACGTAATGTCGTGCATTTAATAGCTATTTGCATGAAGTACGTACAACAAAGTATAAGAAATAAGTACGACAAAAATCATGTAATCTTGTGTCAGTATAAGCTAGTATATCAGAGCGAGGATACATACTGCAGAAGCCTCATATACTAATTGTTACAATATTATTCGTCCCTGGGGCCTAGGATTTCTGTTGATAATTAGCCTCCATGGTCAAAAACAGCCATCGGGGGAATCCATCAAAATAATACACTGTCACTTAACACGTATTTTAATTTGTATATTAAGCTAGTAATCATACATTGTGATAGTAAGACCATACATGAAAAGCTTCACTGATAATCTTTTATAAAGAATGAGTCACTGACAAAAATTGAACGAATCGTTCTAAGTGAATACGTCATCCTTTCCAACAGGAACAATGATGATTAACACCACCAACAACATCAGCAACATCAATAATAGTAATGATAATACCACTACTACTAATAGCGATAATAATAGTCCTAATAACAGTGATACAAATACTACTACAGTACTACTAATAATAACAATAATAATGATAACAATACTACTACTACTATATACTACTACTACTACTACTACTACTACTACTATTACTACTACTACTACTACTATTACTACTACTACTACTACTACTACTACTACTACTACTACTACTACTAATACTAACAATGATAATAATAATAATAATAATGTTGACCAGGGAAGCCTCATCGGCTTCAATTCTCTTCCTGATGACCCTGCAACTATTATTATCCAAGCGATTGCCAGGTACCCATCTACTCCTGGTTGGATATATATAAAAAAAAGAATTCCCACTTTTATATTTCACTGAATGAATAATATTCTCACCGTCATGGTAACGAACTGCCATTTGTTGTTTGTTTCATTCATCATCTGACGTGGCGTGAATCCGACATCATTACTCACATCTATCACGTTACGGTTGCTCTTCTCCAGAATGGGGATGACCAGTTCAGAAAATGCTAAAGAGAGGAATATTAGAAATAGAACAAGTAAGGAACTGATGACGTAATATGGGCCTGATATCAACTACAATTGTGATATCAACATACTTGACTATCGATTATACCAATAAATATAACAATAAGGCTATGTAATAAAAGTAACGATGATAACCATAGCAGTACTAATGATAATAGTTTTAATGATGATGATGAAAATAATAAGCCACTACACTACTACTACTACTACTACTACTTCTACTACTACTTATGTTAATAATAAAGACGATGATGAGAATAATAATGCTCTCATGCTGTCACAAATGAACTATACGAAAACAAAAACGGCAACATAATAAAGAATTTGTCATCTCTCGCAAAATTGGAGTACAATTTATCTAACATTTCACCAATTTATAACATGCATGAAATTCTCTGTCCGATAATTATTCTTCAACATTTGGAATGAAACTTTATTTTAATATATCGTTGCCCTGATTTTTCTAGGAAATGTTGGGTTATTTTCATCGCGCCGGATGCATCGATGCATCTCAGCTGGAAGCCTCATATCAATGCCGTTGCAGCAAAAGCAGGAAGAACCTTGGGATTCCTAAGAAGAAACATCAGCAAATGCTCATCGCATATTAAACAACAGGCCTACATCTCCTTGGTACGCTCCCAGCTAGAATATGCCTCCGTCGTCTGGGATCCATACAGACAAAATCAGATTGACCAGCTTGAGAAAATCCAAAGAAGGGCAGTACGCTTCATATGCGGAAACTACCAACGAGATGCCAGCGTCACCAAAATGAGAGAAGATCTAGCACTCCAACCCTTAGAGGAGAGACGCAGGCAAGCCCGATTAACCATGCTTTACAAAGCCATCAACCACCTAGTCGCAGTACCAATTCCAGACTACATCCAACCAAGACTCCGTTCAACACGTCAGCAACACCGACACAGATTCATGAGACCCAGCTCCAACTCTGACAGCTACAGGCAAAGTTTCTTCCCAAGAACACTCCGGGACTGGGATGAGCTCCCTACCAACTTCATTGAACTGCCCTCTGTGGAGAAGTTCAAGGGAGCCATCAGCGCCTAAATCATAGGAGGATCTGTTTTTACTCGCACAACTTGTATATACGCACTATGCACTAATCAATCAATCATGACCACTATGAGAGACACCACACCACAATATCCTCGTTTAGTTGCTGAAAAGGCTTTTGACGAGTACCAGCATAGACGTAGACGTAGATCAGATGCATCCTTTACCCCCTCCCAATCCCATAACCGTCTGGTTGGGTAAAGGATATTAGGAATTTCCCTCTCCTAGTCCCACATGATGGCTTTTGATGTCTGTAAGCAGCCCGATGTGCTTTGTGGCACAACATGAAGGCGAGTTATCCGGCAAAATTTTCGGTGTGGGGAGATTGAGAGGGGATACAGAGCAACCCGTGACTGCTTCTTTTCTATTATGCTGTTGAAACAAAGAATCAATGGAGTAGGGGGGGGGGGGGGGTGGCCCGGGTGGGAGTTGAATCGGAAGGGACTTAAAAAATACAACTGAACCCCCTCTTTCCAAATATACCCCCAATCGTTGGCCTCGTTAATTCACGTTTCATCCACCCTACTTGTTTTGGAAATTTATGTTTCTGAAATGCAAGCCCATACAACAATATTCATTAAAGAAGGAAATACTGGAGAAAAACCCTTAGTTTTTAATAAACTGATTTGTTTTTTTCTTCAAATCTCCTTGTTTTCTACGGTTTATAGGTGATTCGTCGATTCATAACATCGACTAATATCTTCTTCGATTTTATATACTGCAAAATCCATAGTTCATCGTCAATGTCGCACTAGACTTTACTATGATGTTATGTTTCCAAATGTATTCCTTAGTATTTTGAAAAGAATAAAGCTGCTACATGCATTTTGAAAACATGTACTTCTTTTAATTCTTGCTAAAGTCGGGGAAGGTGCCACGTTCTATACATTAAAACGAAATACATTTCATTATCAACATGAGAAATATCACATACAATTTCATTTTAAAAGTGTTTTTCTTATTAGATCATCTTCTGGACTAACACATTTTCATCATGAATTTGAACTGCTCGATATTAAACAATCGCACAAAGTCATTCCGAGGCAATAAGCCAGTTCGTAAATAGCTTCGGAACGCATGACCCCCAAATATCCAAAGATCTTTTACACTATGGATGCGTCCCACTTGTGCATTTTAGAATGATCACTGTCGAAGTGATGGAGGTGCTTCTGGAATACCTTTTGTTTGCTCTCTTGAGAAGAATAATTCCACCTGTGTATCAGATAAATGTACTGTCGGAACATAAATGAATACTAATTACATAACTTTCATGAGCACGATACGAGTATTCGTCTCAATAGTTTTACAACTTGGGAACGAATGACCTTTATCTGCACATGCGCAAATCCTAATTACGAACTCGCTTATAAATTTCAACAGCTTTGTTCTTCCTCATTTGAAATGTGCGATGTATTGGTATTCCGAACATAATTTGAATTGGATTTACACAGGATAATTAAACTACCCTCGAGATAATTTTTGTTAAAGTTTTTGCGATCGTGTTTAGCCTATTTGATCTAACTCTTTTATTTTTGTTTAATTTCTTGATACGCCAATTTTCTTCAGCCCAAACAACTGGATATGTTTATTTTCATAAATGTGGTACATCCTACATTGAGTCCAAGTCCAATACGAGAATATTATTTTCTAAACGTTTGACATCTAGATGTATAATATGTAGCTTCTAAGCAACAATTAGATCATCTATAATGTATTTTTAGGGAACTTATTTTACAAGGCCTTTTTGGCCTTATTTTAGTTTCCCCTTTTCTCATGTTCGGCTGGTTAATTTGGTCTCTTTGATACTGTTGATTGCATATATTTTTTAAAATGCATAATATTGTAATGATCTATTGTTTTTATATGAAAATGGAAATAAATGAACAAATGAAACGAAGATGAAAGATGAATTTAACAATTATACCGAAGTACTAAACGTTATTTAATAGCAACTTTCAATCTACTTAATCAATTTTTCCATTCGTAACGAAGTATTGATGTACGCTTAGTATACAAATAACGCACGTCCCAGAGTGCAATAGCGGTGAATGCAGTACGCGCGAGGTTTCTTTAGATTGGTGCCGCTCTGTGCAACGAGCCGCTTGCGGCGAGTTGACAGTGCGAACCATCTGAAGAAACCGAGCGTTTACTGCATTTACGTTTTGCACAACAGGGTCAAGTGCGTTATTTGTTTTATAAAATAGCGACACAAATAGCAAAAACGAAACTTTAGATCTAATAAGTTAGAGTCTAGTCTACGAGAGTTCGATCTAGATCTAGATCTAGAGTTATGTTGGTTCTACTTCTAATTAGGCCTAGACTAAGACCTTGCAGGCTTACCAAAAAGTCAATGGGATTCATTGCCTTGATTAAAAATAAAATCCATACAGTGGGTCTAGAGACGAGTCTACATCAGACAGCTGAAATTCCTGGCTTCATTATAAAATCCAAAAGTCAAAACAGGCCTAAATCCAAGGCAAAAGTAAAATAAAAATTTGCTTTTTAATAATACCCCGCTGGCCGCTCTAGCTAGCTAGCTAGAGCTAGCTACGCGTACGTTGCGCTGGGGATCATGGTGGAGCGTACAATATTAGCTACGCGTAGCCTACAATAATTGCAATGCAACTCGAGGGAGCGCGTACTACACGTACGCGCGCGCACTGGATCTCCATGGTCACGCGTACGCACCGTGCAATATAACTTTTTACTGCGCTTTTTCTGCACTCATTTCTGCAAAATCGTGCTTGCATCAAATTTTTTTCAATGCCATGTGACGCGTATTGACCAATCACGATGCTTAAAATACTAGAGCCATTTTATAATGTATTATGTTCTTTCATGATTACACGACTTGAATGTGTATGATATAAACATCTAGGCTACAACAAATTTTTACTCGTTTTTAGAGACGTTGTTATGGTTGAAAAAATAAATCAAAACAAAATTCATATTCGAACACAATTCTATGACAGTATGAGTACGAAGCCGTATGGATATTTTAGTGGGGTCTTATTGTTATATTTACCACTAGTATAGTCCACAATAATAATATTATACCATTTTGCGTCAATTTTTAAAACTAACTCACCATATTCATCTCCATGTAGGACACGCCTGAGAGCTAGATGAAGGGGTGTATCCCCCTTTGAATCCTGGATTTCAGAGCTCGCCCCAAGGCGCATCAGCAGCCGGACAATCTTCTCATGGCCGGCAGCGCAGGCGATGTGCAGCGGTGTACGAAGCAGCTGATCCCGGTGCCGAATTAGATTCAGATCAAGAAGGGCATGTTTCTTCAGATAAGATTTCACTTTTAAAACTTCCCCTTCTCTGATGTACTCTAAAAGTTTCTCTTCGGTAGACTTCCCCATGGCTGGCTTTCAATAGCCAATGCGGTTTCAACAGATTTTATTTTTCTCGTGGAAATTGAACAAACGGTAAAGTAGCCTCTACTTTCGACGGAGAGCAGACGACCAATTATCAATTTCGCATTTACCCCTCGATATTTATGACGGCTATCGTGATTGGAGCTCGACGCACTTTTCGCACGTACTGTGTACGCTGGGGGCATGGAGATATCTCCATGCTGGGGGCGGAACTTCGGGCAAAGCTGGAAAGTTGGATAGCTTTTGAACTAAGAGGACGATCAGACTATGGCACCAGGGGGGTGTTTCACAAAGATCCTAAGTAGAACTTAACTCTAAATTGGACTTAAAATTTATGGAGAGCCATTTGTAGCTTTAAAAGGAAATATATTCAAAAGCAGAAATTCAAGTATTTTAGACTTTTCATCAATTCCATATCTAGAAAATGAAATCTCCTTGATATTACGAAATGTGAATGGTCTGAATTAACATCTTATGCCTTAAAAAAAACTTTTACAAAATATTTTCAAAGATGCTAGCAGCATTCCATAATCGTTAAGTCCAACTTAGAGATAAGTTCAACTTAGGATCTTTGTGAAACACCCTCCAGAACTAGCTTTTTTGACATAAGCTCAGAAGTTGTTCTGGAATAATAATTTCGGAAAGGGCTTTGTTGGGGGGGGGGGATGGGGGGGGGGGACGGGGCGAGCGGGCCTTGCGGTTGGGTGTGGAGCGAAATATCGGCCGGCGCGATTTTCAATTTTCCGGGGGCAACTTAAGGGGAAAGAATAGTGCTCACCCCCCCCCCCCTTTAAGGGTGTAAGAAGCGGCTTTGGGTTCTTGTATTGATTTTCTACATGTAAGTCGTGACTTTTTAAAAATTTCATTTATTTCTTTTGAGCCCACAAACCCCTATAGAACCGTCGATTCTTTGAATAATTGTGCATTTTATTTGTCATTGTGGGCTGAGCGGTTGCATCCGCCTGCAAAATAGGCCCAATGAAATGGTTCAGTGTAAAACTGTGACACATATACAACATTATTCATTGATTTTTTTTTCTGTAATTTTTTAAGTATGGAAATGCGCAAAAAAAATTCACAGCCGTACATTTCATTCGTTCCCCATTATTTTGATACAAACAAAAGTCATGGAAATTCTGCTATCGTTCTCGTCAGATCGAGGGTAACATTTTTAACCATGTTGTCGCAGATGGCGCTTTCAACAAACGTGATGCCGAGCCCTTGCGTGCGCTGTCTAAATGTAAAATTCGACCACAACGGCTCAAGAAATGAAAAAATGATGTCTGGAAAGTTAAATAAAAGGTCGAAACAGTCATACTTCCTTATTTTTGTCAAATATATTGTCCAAATATTCAGTTTTCTCTCCCTTATCCCTGATTACCGGCCATTTCATTCACCTGCTGTAAATAATGACATCTATATGGATGAAGTATACTCTTCATACATTGATTTTATGGTTTGCTTTACCTGGGGGGGGGGGGGGGAGGTTCATAAAGCTGTTCGTAAAGTTACGCATGACTTTACGAACGACTTGAATATGAAGTGCCAGATAGGATGCCCACATTTTTTCTTGATGTTTTAAGAAAGTATGATTATATTTCCAATAACGTCAATTAAATTATGGCAAAAAATATACTTTGCATTAAATTTTTTTGTTTTCATAAGAATGTTAATCTACATCTGCACAGTTCAACTTTAGTTGATGCAGCAAAAAATTATTGTGCATCCCATTTGGCTTTTCATGTGTACGCTTGTTAGTAAGCAACCAGGGGACGGACGGCTTTACGTCCTCTCCGAGGGAATTGGTAATGAGGATAAATGCCTTACCAACGGGCACTGGCGCATCGACTTGGTTTTGAACCCGGGACCTCCCTGTTACGAGACCACTGCTCTACCACTGAGCCATCGCGTCTCCTTCTAGCTATTACTATGTCGCCTAAGTATCTGGAAAGCTTTTTAGCGGTTGCGAAATACTATGTATAAAATAATTAAACAAGTAAACAGGCTTATTTGATAGTTATAAAATAAAACTTTATTTAAGAGACAGAAGATTCACACCATGTAGGAATATTTAGGTTAATCATGTGAATGGGTTCGTGTACATCTAAATATTGCAATAGACTTTTTTTTAAAAATTTTTATTGATAAAAAGAAATAGCAGAAAAAATAACAAGAATCACATAAAACATTTACATTATAAGACCAAACAGCGGTATCGTGTTTACACACAAAAACGCACACACCTGATTTTGAGGGGGAAAAAGCTATTTCGTTTGTGGTGTGTGTTTGTGTGTGCGAGTGAGTATATTATGTTTGAAATGAGGTAAGTTGTGACGATGTAATTACCTCAACAGGTTTTTTTGATAACTATAAACTTGCAAGGGATAAAAGCACTTGAAAATTGGGCACTGTTATACACCTATCTAAAGACACTCGACCCAAACTGATACATATTACTGAATGGATTATCACATGTGCCCTTTAGTACAAAATCAAATCATTGAACTGATCAAAAAATCAATGAGACCGGAGTGACCTGCCTCCGTCATCTCGTGCACCACCGAAGAGCCTATATAGCTCCCTCTCGCTTGTAGAGTGCCTGAGGAATTGCTTGTTCAACGACTTACCGTGTAACAACTAGACCGGGATTCCCTACTACTGATTCAACACTTCTTTTTTCCTTTGGGAGGGGGAGGAGGAGGGGGGGGGGGGGGGGTTAAGGTTGTGCAAATTATTTATATCATCAATATTTCTGCTTGATTCGGCATTGGGTTACTTAATCTCTAGATATATGTAATAACCATTCATAAGGCTAATTATAGCTATTTGGTCTTATATCCATTTTGTCTGATCTCCAATTAGTCTAGTGCCCATTTGGTCTATTTTTCATTTAGTATAATGACCAGTTACTGTAATTTCCAGTTTGTCTAATGCCCATTTCGTCTACCATTTGTAATGCATATCAATCATTTAAAGATTATTAATATTATATTAGACTAAATGATATTTAGAAGGTCGCATTCATGGAAAGAAGAAGACGGGAATACCACGTAAAGGCTTTCTAGACGATGTAATCATACAATGTGGAGCAACAGGGTATGAAACGATGAAACGGTTGGCTCAAGACCGAGGAACTTGGAGAGAATCTTGGAGAAACACTTGATATAGCATTTTGAATGGGTCACTGAACCTGTCATAAACTGCCAGATCACTATTGATGATGATATTTAGACCATGTGAATAGTAGAGGGGTGGTTTTAAACCAAAAGGCTATAAACCCAAGGAAGATGCTATCATACTAAAGTTGCGGTCATAACATAAATTTTAAAAAGAGAGAATTTCTCACGTAGGCCTACTTGATGCGACTCACAAACAAGGTGATCCCTAATGTGAGTGGATTTCCACTGGATTTTCTGTTTTAAGAAAGTAGCCATGCATGATAAGGGGTTTTTATTGTATGGATGAATATGATTGCCCATTGTCAAAAGATTGAATGGATCGTGATCCGGGGTCGTGATTTGTCGATTTTACATCGATTTTAGTTCTTGATGCCGTGCGAATCATTGCGTCGTCATCATAACCCCGTATCCTCGCCATGGCTTCTCATCCCATCGTGGTTGTAACGCACGCGTTAGCTTTCCGTCGATGATAAGACGCCGAGCCGTTTAAGGCAGCGCCGCAGCTGGCAGAACTCAGTGAGAACCTTGGTGAAGCGGAGATGAGCGCGGTCTGCGTCGACCACCGCCCGAACGGTCTCTCGTCGGAGATCCTTGATGGTCCCGATCAACCCCAGCTGGCTGATACCCGGTCGCTCGAGATCTACACACTCCACGGAATGCTGCACGATGTAACGGATCTGCACGGGGTTTCCAAAATGAAGAACAAAACAAACATGAACAAAACCAATGGGATAGAAGGGGTATCAAGTTGGTTGTCATGGTTACAATTGTTCACAAGCAACGTTTGTTTCCTAAGTGAAAAATGACAACATCATAATCAATGTCATTTAGATCGGTAGTCCATGAATTATACGAAAATGAAATGTTGGTCAAAGTTTCTGCGATTGCCCCTATCCTATAATTTGCCTATAAGGGGTTAGTAGTATAAGCCCCATCCCCTAAAATGTATTTTCCGTTGCTTGTCAGAGAGTTTCGAGATCCGTCACTTCATAAATACTAGGGTGAATACTTGGGGAAGGACAAGGCTTTGAAATTTGCTTAGAATATTTTTTTTTTCGAAACTGTTTGCGGGGGCTGACGTTCACAACTAAAATAAATGGCGCCAAGCAAATTCACGTCGATTATGAAAATGTAAAGAATTACATAAGGTTGATAGTGCGTGGGCACTAAGAGCAATAGGGAGAAAAGAAAATGGTAGGAGAGATGTAGAAAAAGAAGAGAAATAAGAAGGAGAATAAAGAAGTTAAAGAAAGTAAGAATGAGAAGACAAAGAAGAGGAGATAGCGATGACGACAACGAAAAAGAAGAAGAAAACGAAGAAGAGGAGATAGCGATGACGACAACGAAAAAGAAGAAGAAAATAAGAAGAAGTAGTAGAAGAATAAAAAGAAGAATAAGAAAAAGAGGAAGAAGAAGAAGAAAAAGAGGAGGAGGTAGAAGGAAAAAAATCACTGATATATATGTATACCTGTCGTGCCGCCTCGACGATACTGCTCGCTGATTCGATCATAGCATTGATGTCGCCCAGTAGCTCGTCCATCATATCTTGCGTAGACGGCATCGAGCTTTCCTCCGTCGTCGATGTCCCAAAGTCATTGTCGTTGTGCATACGGTCTCGGGAATGCTGGTAAGATCCAGCTGGGTTTTCGGGACTGACAGATTCGTACTCGTTGGACTCGAGATAGATGTCCTAGCAATGTTAGAAGGAATATTATGCTAATGAGAGAGTGAGGGAGAGGCGGGGTGGGGGGGGGGGGGGGTTGGAAGGCATATTCACATCAAGATGATGTTTTCGACCACTGTCACCCTCTAAACATGGACCTACTAGTAGGTCCATGCATGCTCTAAACGACTCAGTGTGAGGGGCGGATCTAGCTTTTTGCTTAGGGGGGGTTGACCAATAATAACGATGCAGAGCATCGTCCACGAGCCGCGAAGCGGCGAGCCGATTTTTTTGGGGTGTTTATTTGAACCCCGTAAGTGATGTTTTCCTGGCAT